CCCTTCCAGAGCTGAGATATCGAAACTCAAAAATTCGGCCCGAAAAAAAAAAACGACAGTGGTACCCTTACGTTTTTTTTTTGGGCGAAAATTAAGTTTCTCCAATCTTCCCAAATTCTGATAGAGGGCCATGAGACTTAGACCTGAGTGCAAAAATGGAGGCTCTAGCCCCTTCCAGAGCTGAGATATCGAAACTCAAAAATTCGGCCCGAAAAAAAAACGACAGTGGTACCCCTTACGTTTTTTTTTTGGCGAAAAATTAAGTTTCTCCAATCTTCCCAAATTCTGATAGAGGGCCATGAGACTTAGACCTGAGTGCAAAAATGGAGGCTCTAGCCCCTTCCAGAGCTGAGATATCGAAACTCAAAAATTCGGCCCGAAAAAAAAACGACAGTGGTACCCCTTACGTTTTTTTTTTGGGCGAAAAATTAAGTTTCTCCAATCTTCCCAAATTCTGATAGAGGGCCATGAGACTTAGACCTGAGTGCAAAAATGGAGGCTCTAGCCCTTCCAGAGCTGAGATATCGAAACTCAAAAATTCGGCCCGAAAAAAAAAACGACAGTGGTACCCTTACGTTTTTTTTTGGGCGAAAAATTAAGTTTCTCCAATCTTCCCAAAATTCTGATAGAGGGCCATGAGACTTAGACCTGAGTGCAAAAATGGAGGCTCTAGCCCTTCCAGAGCTGAGATATCGAAACTCAAAAATTCGGCCCGAAAAAAAAAACGACAGTGGTACCCCTTACGTTTTTTTTTTGGGGCGAAAAATTAAGTTTCTCCAATCTTCCCAAATTCTGATAGAGGGCCATGAGACTTAGACCTGAGTGCAAAAATGGAGGCTCTAGCCCCTTCCAGAGCTGAGATATCGAAACTCAAAAATTCGGCCCGAAAAAAAAACGACAGTGGTACCCTTACGTTTTTTTTTTGGGCGAAAAATTAAGTTTCTCCAATCTTCCCAAATTCTGATAGAGGGCCATGAGACTTAGACCTGAGTGCAAAAATGGAGGCTCTAGCCCCTTCCAGAGCTGAGATATCGAAACTCAAAAATTCGGCCCGAAAAAAAAACGACAGTGGTACCCCTTACGTTTTTTTTTTTGGGCGAAAAATTAAGTTTCTCCAATCTTCCCAAATTCTGATAGAGGGCCATGAGACTTAGACCTGAGTGCAAAAATGGAGGCTCTAGCCCCTTCCAGAGCTGAGATATCGAAACTCAAAAATTCGGCCCGAAAAAAAAACGACAGTGGTACCCCTTACGTTTTTTTTTGGGGCGAAAAATTAAGTTTCTCCAATCTTCCCAAATTCTGATAGAGGGCCATGAGACTTAGACCTGAGTGCAAAAATGGAGGCTCTAGCCCCTTCCAGAGCTGAGATATCGAAACTCAAAAATTCGGCCCGAAAAAAAAACGACAGTGGTACCCCTTACGTTTTTTTTTTTGGGCGAAAAATTAAGTTTCTCCAATCTTCCCAAATTCTGATAGAGGGCCATGAGACTTAGACCTGAGTGCAAAAATGGAGGCTCTAGCCCCTTCCAGAGCTGAGATATCGAAACTCAAAAATTCGGCCCGAAAAAAAAACGACAGTGGTACCCCTTACGTTTTTTTTTTTGGGCGAAAAATTAAGTTTCTCCAATCTTCCCAAATTCTGATAGAGGGCCATGAGACTTAGACCTGAGTGCAAAAATGGAGGCTCTAGCCCTTCCAGAGCTGAGATATCGAAACTCAAAAATTCGGCCCGAAAAAAAAACGACAGTGGTACCCCTTACGTTTTTTTTTTTGGGCGAAAAATTAAGTTTCTCCAATCTTCCCAAATTCTGATAGAGGGCCATGAGACTTAGACCTGAGTGCAAAAATGGAGGCTCTAGCCCCTTCCAGAGCTGAGATATCGAAACTCAAAAATTCGGCCCGAAAAAAAAACGACAGTGGTACCCCTTACGTTTTTTTTTTGGGCGAAAAATTAAGTTTCTCCAATCTTCCCAAATTCTGATAGAGGGCCATGAGACTTAGACCTGAGTGCAAAAATGGAGGCTCTAGCCCCTTCCAGAGCTGAGATATCGAAACTCAAAAATTCGCCCGAAAAAAAAAACGACAGTGGTACCCCTTACGTTTTTTTTTTTGGGCGAAAAATTAAGTTTCTCCAATCTTCCAAATTCTGATAGAGGGCCATGAGACTTAGACCTGAGTGCAAAAATGGAGGCTCTAGCCCCTTCCAGAGCTGAGATATCGAAACTCAAAAATTCGGCCCGAAAAAAAAAACGACAGTGGTACCCCTTACGTTTTTTTTTTGGGCGAAAAATTAAGTTTCTCCAATCTTCCCAAATTCTGATAGAGGGCCATGAGACTTAGACCTGAGTGCAAAAATGGAGGCTCTAGCCCCTTCCAGAGCTGAGATATCGAAACTCAAAAATTCGGCCCGAAAAAAAAACGACAGTGGTACCCTTACGTTTTTTTTTTGGGCGAAAAATTAAGTTTCTCCAATCTTCCCAATTCTGATAGAGGGCCATGAGACTTAGACCTGAGTGCAAAAATGGAGGCTCTAGCCCTTCCAGAGCTGAGATATCGAAACTCAAAAATTCGGCCGAAAAAAAAACGACAGTGGTACCCCTTACGTTTTTTTTTTTTTGGGCGAAAAATTAAGTTTCTCCAATCTTCCCAAATTCTGATAGAGGGCCATGAGACTTAGACCTGAGTGCAAAAATGGAGGCTCTAGCCCTTCCAGAGCTGAGATATCGAAACTCAAAAATTCGGCCCGAAAAAAAAAACGACAGTGGTACCCCTTACGTTTTTTTTTTTGGGCGAAAAATTAAGTTTCTCCAATCTTCCCAAATTCTGATAGAGGGCCATGAGACTTAGACCTGAGTGCAAAAATGGAGGCTCTAGCCCTTCCAGAGCTGAGATATCGAAACTCAAAAATTCGGCCCGAAAAAAAAACGACAGTGGTACCCCTTACGTTTTTTTTTTGGGCGAAAAATTAAGTTTCTCCAATCTTCCAAATTCTGATAGAGGGCCATGAGACTTAGACCTGAGTGCAAAAATGGAGGCTCTAGCCCCTCCAGAGCTGAGATATCGAAACTCAAAAATTCGGCCCGAAAAAAAAACGACAGTGGTACCCCTTACGTTTTTTTTTTGGGCGAAAAATTAAGTTTCTCCAATCTTCCCAAATTCTGATAGAGGGCCATGAGACTTAGACCTGAGTGCAAAAATGGAGGCTCTAGCCCCTTCCAGAGCTGAGATATCGAAACTCAAAAATTCGGCCCGAAAAAAAACGACAGTGGTACCCCTTACGTTTTTTTTTTTGGGCGAAAAATTAAGTTTCTCCAATCTTCCCAAATTCTGATAGAGGGCCATGAGACTTAGACCTGAGTGCAAAAATGGAGGCTCTAGCCCTTCCAGAGCTGAGATATCGAAACTCAAAAATTCGGCCCGAAAAAAAAACGACAGTGGTACCCCTTACTTTTTTTTTGGGCGAAAAATTAAGTTTCTCCAATCTTCCCAAATTCTGATAGAGGGCCATGAGACTTAGACCTGAGTGCAAAAATGGAGGCTCTAGCCCTTCCAGAGCTGAGATATCGAAACTCAAAAATTCGGCCCGAAAAAAAAAACGACAGTGGTACCCCTTACGTTTTTTTTTTGGGCGAAAAATTAAGTTTCTCCAATCTTCCCAAATTCTGATAGAGGGCCATGAGACTTAGACCTGAGTGCAAAAATGGAGGCTCTAGCCCCTTCCAGAGCTGAGATATCGAAACTCAAAAATTCGGCCCGAAAAAAAAAACGACAGTGGTACCCCTTACGTTTTTTTTTGGGCGAAAAATTAAGTTTCTCCAATCTTCCCAAATTCTGATAGAGGGCCATGAGACTTAGACCTGAGTGCAAAAATGGAGGCTCTAGCCCCTTCCAGAGCTGAGATATCGAAACTCAAAAATTCGGCCCGAAAAAAAAAACGACAGTGGTACCCCTTACGTTTTTTTTTTGGGCGAAAAATTAAGTTTCTCCAATCTTCCCAAATTCTGATAGAGGGCCATGAGACTTAGACCTGAGTGCAAAAATGGAGGCTCTAGCCCCTTCCAGAGCTGAGATATCGAAACTCAAAAATTCGGCCCGAAAAAAAAAACGACAGTGGTACCCCTTACGTTTTTTTTTTTGGGCGAAAAATTAAGTTTCTCCAATCTTCCCAAATTCTGATAGAGGGCCATGAGACTTAGACCTGAGTGCAAAAATGGAGGCTCTAGCCCCTTCCAGAGCTGAGATATCGAAACTCAAAAATTCGGCCGAAAAAAAAACGACAGTGGTACCCCTTACGTTTTTTTTTTGGGCGAAAAATTAAGTTTCTCCAATCTTCCAAAATTCTGATAGAGGGCCATGAGACTTAGACCTGAGTGCAAAAATGGAGGCTCTAGCCCCTTCCAGAGCTGAGATATCGAAACTCAAAAATTCGGCCCGAAAAAAAAACGACAGTGGTACCCCTTACGTTTTTTTTTTTGGGCGAAAAATTAAGTTTCTCCAATCTTCCCAAATTCTGATAGAGGGCCATGAGACTTAGACCTGAGTGCAAAAATGGAGGCTCTAGCCCCTTCCAGAGCTGAGATATCGAAACTCAAAAATTCGGCCCGAAAAAAAAAACGACAGTGGTACCCCTTACGTTTTTTTTTTGGGCGAAAAATTAAGTTTCTCCAATCTTCCCAAATTCTGATAGAGGGCCATGAGACTTAGACCTGAGTGCAAAAATGGAGGCTCTAGCCCTTCCAGAGCTGAGATATCGAAACTCAAAAATTCGGCCCGAAAAAAAAACGACAGTGGTACCCCTTACGTTTTTTTTTTGGGCGAAAAATTAAGTTTCTCCAATCTTCCCAAATTCTGATAGAGGGCCATGAGACTTAGACCTGAGTGCAAAAATGGAGGCTCTAGCCCCTTCCAGAGCTGAGATATCGAAACTCAAAAATTCGGCCCGAAAAAAAAAACGACAGTGGTACCCTTACGTTTTTTTTTTTGGGCGAAAAATTAAGTTTCTCCAATCTTCTCAAATTCTGATAGAGGGCCATGAGACTTAGACCTGAGTGCAAAAATGGAGGCTCTAGCCCCTTCCAGAGCTGAGATATCGAAACTCAAAAATTCGGCCGAAAAAAAAACGACAGTGGTACCCCTTACGTTTTTTTTTGGGCGAAAAATTAAGTTTCTCCAATCTTCCCAAATTCTGATAGAGGCCATGAGACTTAGACCTGAGTGCAAAAATGGAGGCTCTAGCCCTTCCAGAGCTGAGATATCGAAACTCAAAAATTCGGCCCGAAAAAAAACGACAGTGGTACCCCTTACGTTTTTTTTTTTTTGGGCGAAAAATTAAGTTTCTCCAATCTTCTCAAACTCTGGATTCTGATAGAGGGCATGAGACTTAGACCTGAGTGCAAAAATGGAGGCTCTAGCCCTTCCAGAGCTGAGATATCAAAACTCAAAATTTCGGACCCGAAAAAAAAACGACAGTGTAACCCTTACGTTTTTTTTTTTTTCGGGCGAAAAATTAAGTTTCTCCAATCTTCCAAAACTCTTGATTCTATAGAGGGCCATGAGACTTAGACCTGAGTGCAAAAATGGAGGCTCTAGACCCTTCCAGAGCTGAGATATCAAAACTCAAAATTTCGACAAAAAAAAAACGACAGTGTTACCCCTTACGTTTTTTTTTTTGGGCGAAAAATTAAGTTTCTCCAATCTCTCAAAACTCTGGATTCTGATAGAGGGCCATGAGACTTAGACCTGAGTGCAAAAATGGAGGCTCTAGCCCCTTCCAGAGCTGAGATATCGAAACTCAAAATTTCGACCCGAAAAAAAAACGACAGGTACCCTTTCATTTTTTTTTTTTCGGGCGAAAAATTAAGTTTCTCCAATCTTCTCAAACTCTGGATTCTGATAGAGGGCCATGAGACTTAGACCTGAGTGCAAAAATGGAGGCTCTAGACCCTTCCAGAGCTGAGATATCAAAACTCAAAATTTCGACCCGAAAAAAAACAACAGTGTTACCCCTTTCGTTTTTTTTTTTTTTTCGGGCTAAAAATTAAGTTTCTCCAATCTTCTCAAAACTCTGGATTATGATAGAGGGCTGTGAGACTTTGACATGAGTGCAAAAATGGAGGCTCTAGACCCTTCCAGAGCTGAGATATCGAAATTCAAAAAAAAATTAGTTAAAGAAACTTCAATTAAAATGTCCAAAAAATACACTACCCCAATTCCACTGTCCATGAACCCACTATTTTTATAATGGCATAATGCTACGTGGGATATGCTGAAAGGGTCTAGAGACTCCATTTTTGCACTCAGGTTTAAGTCCCAAGGCCCTCTATCAGAATCCGGAGTTTCAAGAAGATCAGAGCAACTCAAAATTTCGGCCCCCCAAAAAAACGACAATGTTACCCCTGTCGTTTTTTTTTTTTGTTGTTTTTGTTTTTGTTTTTTTTTTTGTGCGAAAAAATAAGTTTCTCCAATCTTCTTGAAACTCTGGATTCTGATAGAGGGCTTTGGGAGTTAGACCTGAGTGCAAAAATGGAGTCTCTAGACCGTTCCAGAGCTGAGATATGGACATCCCATGTAGCATTATGCCATTATAAAAATAGTGGGTTCGTGGACGGTGGAATTATTTTGAAAGCTAAGCTTAAAAACCGTGTGTCCAAAAACCCACTATTTGTCCAATAACTGACTATAAGTACTAACCCTGACCTTCATGCAATAAGATGCAAATGGACAGAATCCCACCTGCAATCTATTGAATGGGGATTTGGGTAGTGTATTTTTTGGACATTTTAATTAAAGTTTATTTCATGATAAAAACTATTTTACTGCACTCAGGAGGCTCCCCTGAGTCCGTAGCACCAAGCGCCATCCCATAATTCCACCGTCCACGAACCCACTATTTTTATAATGGCATAAATGCTACGTAGGATGTCCATATCTCAGCTCTGGAAGGGTCTAGAGACTCCATTTTTGCACTCAGGTCTAACTCCCAAGGCCCTCTATCAGAATCCAGAGTTTCAAGAAGATTGGAGAGACTTATTTTTTCGCAACAAATAAAAAAAAAAAACGACAGGTGTACCACTGTCGTTTTTTTTTTTTTTTTTTCGGGTCGAAATTTTGAGTTGCTCTGATCTTTTTGAAACTCTGGATTCTGATAGAGGGCCATGGGAGTTAATATTCATATTTAAGTTAAGCTTTAGATTTAAGTCAAATCCATATGTTCTTTTGGCCGAAAGTTATTTTACTTTATAAAGTTTTAAATATGGATATTTTTCTTACATCTCCATATTCCTCATTACTCCACATAAAGTCATCATCTGAGATATTTTCATCAGCTATATGTTCAAGCACTTCAGAACTGTATATTCTACACATAAAAAAGTTTCAAAAATGTATCGGTACTGTGATATATATAATTTATATATATATATATATATTATATATATATATATATATATATATATATATACAGTATATATATTATAAAATAAATTTCAATCAGCATCACTGAAAATGTGACTTCAGTAACAGGCTTTCAAACCTACTGTCCATTCTAATGGACAGACACATTTAAAAAAAAATCTGATTTAAAACGTGCAATTCTACAGTCGATTTTTAACTTTAATTAAGAAGTTCAATCTTTCTATTTTACATAAAAACTATGAAATACTGGCAAAAATATATACAAAATGTAAATACACCTTAGAAAATGTTGCTTGCTTCTGTGTTTGGAGTGAAGTGCTGCCATGCTTCTCTTCAATGTAGAGGGTTTTTTTTATGTAATAACTACATGCAAAGCTTTACTGGCATTTGATTGGATGACACACATCCAATCTCATGGACTGCAGGCTTTAAACTAGGTGAAATGCTCCAGAAGTTAAAAAAGGGGGCTGACATGTGATGTCCATTTGAATGGACACACGGTCTGAATGGGTTAAAAAACCTTGCAGTGTAAATTATAAATGATTTACCCGTGCACCTCATTATTTAAAAATAAAAGTCCATGTGCCCTTGTAATCTTTAATCAAAAACATTAATTAGCAAAGCACAACATCATTAAACAAAATCAAGCCCCGCACTACTTTTTTTTTCTTGTTTGAGAAGCCATTTCACTTGTATATAGTATGTCACAAAAAAGACATTCCGTTTCATCCCGACTTTAAATCTGTATCTGTTTGCTTGCATTTTAGGTTCATGGTCGCTGTAAGAAAAACAGTATCTCAGGAAGTAAGCATTATCTGACAGTGGCCAGTGGGGTCATGATGTCTGTTTTTGTGTCTCCAGTCATAGCGGCCATTACTGTCGGTAAGAAACTCATCCATCCACTTTGGCTACTAATATATTTGAGAGATCATTTTATATTATATGTTGTGTTTTATATTATAGACATTACCGTTCTAAAGTGTGGGGCTTGTACAATTTTTTTTTTTTTTTTTATGAAAGTAAGGATGCAGTAAAGGATGCAGTGACAGTAAAGACATTTATAATGTAAGATTTATATTTCAAATAAATGATGTTCTGTTGAACTTTCTATTTATCAAAGCATCCTGAATACATCATAGTTTCCACAACAATGTTAAGCAGCACAACTGTTTAAAACATTGAGAGTAATCAGAAATGTTAGATTGATCAATAGATTGATTTCTGAAGGATCATGTGACACTGAGGACTAGAGTAATGATGCTGAAAATTCAGCTTTGATCACAGGAATAAATTACATTTTAAAATAGAAAACTTTTTAATTTTTTTTTAACTTTAAAACATTACTGTTTTATACTATATTCGTGATCAAATAAATGCAGCCTTGGTGAGCATAAAAGACTTCTTTCAAAAAAAAATTTAAAAGAAACTTACCGACCCCAAACTTTTAAACAGTAGTGTTTTTTTTTTATGTTTTGAATGTGAATATAAGAAATGGGTATATTAAGAATTCAAGGAGCACTTTAGTGGTCGTATTGTTGTTTTACGGCAATGCAAAGGTGCTGACTTAAGTGTTATTTCTTCGTATTGATTATTCTGGTGTTCAGACAAATGAAGCTATTTAAGACACAAGTCCTCCTCTCCACTGAGACCTTGAATGAAAAAGGTGGAAATGAAAACAAACACGCTTAAAGGAATAGTTCAACTAAAAATCATTTACTCACCTTCATGTCATTCCAAACCTGTATGATTTTCTTCTTTTCTTCTTTCTTCTGTCCAAAAGGACATTTGAAGAATATTCTGGCCACTCTTTGAAATGCATAAACCCTCTGAAACCAAAAACGGACTGAAATTGAAGCCATTATTTTCCTTAACTTTGTGAAAAGATATTTTGTACCACATCTTTTCAGTAATCAGTTGATTTAGGTGAATAACAACCTGCGCATAAATCTGTTCATCAAGCAAAGCTATTGCACGACTCCGGAAGACCTCTTTCATGATGATTTATTGATATTTTTATGGTGCTTTTGCATCTGCTATGAAGCGTAAATGCTCCAGTCTCAATCATAATTAAATGGAAAAGAGCAGCTGGCACATTAATAAAGATTTCTCATTTAGTGTTATATAAAAGCAAGACCATCATATGGCTTTGGAATGACTTAGTAAATAACCTTTTTTGGGGTTGGGTGAACTAATCCATAAACATCCAGTTTGCACACATTTGAACCTACATATGTGCATGCAGCTGTTTCATTCACGCACACACACTGCCCGGTCATCTCTGATGACTCATCCATCTTCTGCTTTGGCACTCCTGTGAGAGTTGAAGCGGGGAGGGGAAGATTACAGCAGCCGGCTGTGACTAAAATGTCAGAGCGATCTCCATGGCATAGTGTGAAGACCTGAGCACAGCACATTCACTACTCGGTGCTCTCCTCGCAAACCCAAAGCTTGTGTTCCCTCTCATTCTCCCCTGTGAATAGCCCTGTCTGTTCTGCAGCTCTGACCTCTCCTCAGGAGAGCCACAGAGGGGCCTTGTCCCCTACAATGTCCTCATCAACAATGCCACACTGTTCTCATCCAGAACCAGGAGGATCATGGCCTTTTGTCTTCTTTATTGCGTGTTGTCCTTGTCTTTGCTGCTAGCATTATGCCTCTGTGTATTTACGCTGCCATGTGAATTACTGCCCTTTTCCTTCAGATTCATCTGAAAATAAGTTCACTTTTGAGGTAAATATGTCTGTGATTTGATGTATTCGTTTGCATAATACACAGTAGGGACTTGTACACTTATACAACTTGTTATTGTTACTTGTAATTAATAATACACTGTAAGGAAAAAGTTGCTGCCTTAAATTTAAGTACAATCAACTTGAATGTTTAAGTCAATTCAACTTAAATTCAACTTAAAATCAACTTAAAAAATAGTTAAGTCTAAAAAAAGTTGAAAATTGCTTAACTTATTTTGATGAGTTAAAGCAATGTAAAAAAAAAACATACGTTGTTATAACTTATTGGTCATACATTTTTTTTGTGTAATACTCTTTTGGAATAACTTCCTAATTATTTCTAATTGAGTAAATCTTCTGTGTTTCAAGGTGTAGGGGTGCCTCTTATGTTGACTTACGTCTACGGGGTCGTGCCCATGTCGTTGTGCCGTAACGGCTGGTGCAGGCCACAAACTGAACCTCCTGAAGTAAGGAACATACAGCTGGAAGATCTGGCCAATTGTAAGTTCAGTTAACAAATTAAAAGTTGAGCTGCTTTCTAAATTAAATGAATGCTCTTGATGTTTAAATCAAAAGAAAAATCAGCTATAGATTGATTTAAGTTTAGCTGTTAAATTTAGTACAGAGATTCTTGTTGTTTGTTTGTTTGTTTTTTTTGTTTTTTTGTGCCAGATAATGGCTATATGGCTGATACAATAATGGGGATAATATAATACAGATATTAGATAATAGAGCAAGATAATTCTGCTTCTACATAGCTTTAGTGAAGTTACTGTAGCTATTTTGTTGCTATACTGTGTTTATTTTTGTTGTAGTTTAACTACTTTAACTACTATGTTCTAAGAATGTTTTGCTAACATTCCCAGTTCTGAAAACATTATTTTCTGAATGTTTTCTGAACGTTCAACAAGTCCAGTTTTTTAAAATGTTTTAAAATCATTTCCATTTTATTATTTTTCAAACATTATTGGAGTGTTACTTTTGAATGTTCTCTAAACATTTTGAACTAAATTAGTACTTGGCAGCGATTAATCGCATCCAAAATAAAAGTTTGTGTTTACATAGTACATGTGTGTGTACTACGTATAATTATTTTGTGTACATAAATACACACACATGCATCTATTTATTCAAGAAAAATGTGTTATTTATATATAAAATATTAATATTTATATATAGTGTAAATTTTATATAAATATACATAGAATATATATATGCACATATTTCTTAAATATATACATGCATGTGTGTATTTATATATACAAAATAATTATACGCAGAACACATGTGTTATGTAAACACAAACTTTTATTTTGGATGTGATTAATCGCGATTAATCGTTGCCCAGCACTAAAAAAAAAACAATGTTCCATGAACCATATTTTTGTGCTAAGATTCTGAGAACAACTTATGACCAGATAACTTTGAGCGGACGTTCTATTAACGTATTTTTTTTTAATGTAAAACTTTGAGAAAACCTTACCAAAACGTTAGCAAAAAAAACTGAGAACGTTCCTTTTTAGATGGGTTCAATGTAGTTGGATACTTTTGACTTCTTTTAAGAGTATCTTTGCTGTAGTTTAACCACATTAAAGAGATTCACTGTAGTTAGCTACTTTTGTTAAAATTTAAATGTGACTAATTAAAGTATCTGTTTGTAATTAGCTACTTGTTAATTTGTATAGCTAACTGCTATTTTGAAAGGGCTTTAGCTTCAGATTATAAATATTGTTTTAGCTTGGAAAGCTATAGTTAAAAAATTGCTTACCCAGCACTATACTGTACATTCCCAATGACACTGTTTGCTTGAACATGATCCTGTTTTATTATAAATTGATTATAATTCTGCATGAGTTTGTATTTGATTATGTAACTTGTACATTGTAACTGCTGAAAGATTAGTATTGCGATATAAAGTTAAGTTCTCAGTTTGGCCTGATCTGATGACATTTAAACTTCTCTTGAAGATCTTCTATTTTCTCATGTAGTCAGTGATCATTGGACTGGCCAGCCTAACCCAGCTCTAACTGAGGGAAGCGTACAGGAAGTGAGTGTGAATGTGGAGGAAGTGATGCCGCCTCCCAGCACCAGTGTGGTCCAGCCTGTAGCAAAGGGCTCCGTTGAACTCCCTAATGATGGACATAATGACAGCACTGAGCAGATTGTTCAGTCAGACGGTGCGGATGTAGCTGAGGAGTGTGCCTTCAGCAGCACACAAACATTTGCTCTGAGGTCAGCAAATGTCATGAATTGGCTTCATTTTGCAGGCATTTTTCAAATATTAATAAGAACTATGCAAGATTGTTAAAACATATACGCTACTGTTTAAAAGTTAAAAGATTTTGAAATAACTCTTTTATTCTTACCAAGACAGCATTTATTTTAATTAAAGATACAATATAAACAGTAATATTGTGAAATATTATTACAATTTAAATGGTTCACCCAAAAATGGAAATTCTGTCATTAATTACTAACCGCCACGTCGTTCCAAACCCATGAGACTTCCGTTTACCTCCGAAACACAAACAAAGATTTTTTTTTAATGAAATATGAGGGCTTTAATATATTTTAAAATGTAATTTATTCCTGTGATGCCAAAGCTGAATTTTCAGCATCATTACTCCAGTCTTCAGTGATTAATTATTAATGCTGCTTAATACTTTTGTGGAAACCGTAATACAGTAGTTTTAGTTTTTTTGTTTGTTTGTTTTTTCACTCACCTTTTCTTTTTCCAGGATTCTTTGCTCAACAGAGCGTTTTGTAACATAAATAGAAATCTTTTGTAACAATTCTAAAGGTCTATAGTATCACTTTTGATCAGTTTGTAATCTTCATAGAAGTATTCATTTCTCTCAAAAAAATCTCCAAACTTTTTGCCAATTTTTCCTGAGAAATAATACTAAAAGTTTATGCCTAAATATGTATAGCTTTTATTATTTAGTTGCTGTTTTTTTCTATTTTTTTTTTACTTATGATTTTTTTTTTCTTCATTATGATATCAGGACAGTTGTATTACTGACATTTTGACATTATACCCCCTCAAAAATATATCAAAATGATTTTTAATTTAGAATTTAATTTTGTATTTAATGTCAGATTTTAATTTTTAATATTAAATTATTATATGTAACTGTATGAATTATTAGATAGAATAAAAAAAAAATAAGCATACAATTATTGACTCCTGTTTCCTAAAACTCTTTTTTTGTTGTTGTTGTTGTTGTTTACCACAGGGAAGGGACCAATATTGAGGTCCGTGTGGAGATTGAGGCCCAGCCACGGGGCGGCCGGAAGCCGAGTCTCAGCAGTATTCTGTCTAGCAAGAGCCTGTCGGCAGAATCTCTCAGCCAGCCCTGTGAACCTCTGTGTGCCTCTCAACAGCCTGGGAGCACCGACCCCGTGCCAGTTCCTGAGATAGACAGCGTCTGAGCGACTCCTGGAAAACCACTGGCATCCACGACTCACCTACAGTCCCACCAGGAGCTTCCAGCCTCTGCCTGCAAAAGCAGAGAGTCAGCGAGTGTGAAAGAAAAGAGAGAGATGGAGAAAAGCGTTCAGGGCAGCTGCTAAAATACCACGGAGGGGATTAAAGATGATCATATAAACTCAAATGACCAAGCGCATGTTTGTCTACAACTATGAGGAGTGCTAACCAATTTTATACTGTGTTCTAGAGAAAAAATTGCTGATTTGGATGCTGTTTGTTTAATTTATTCGATAAGCTTTCCTTTTTAGCTATACCCTTTATCTAATGACCATATGGTTCTTGCCCCCTGACTCATGGAGAAAAAAAAGAAATGCTTAAAAGTTATGGATTATTAGCATGGTTATTTCTGCCACAGTTGCCAGCCCGACATGCCCTGTGAGTGACTAGCAAGATGGTGAAATGCGGGCTGAAGATAAGCGTGCTGTGGGCTAAAGCTAAGGGCTTTTCCCTTGTGGTATTCATTCATTTAAAATAATGCAATTTTATTTTTGCATTTTCATGAAGGAGCAGCAAATGGGGGAATTTATGGGAATCTGTGGGACTAGAATTAGCCCTCAGTGTCATGTTGTTTCCATTATGATGTCAAAACTGGTGATCTTATGGAATGTAAACATCATGGACTATGAGTGCTGCTATAAAAAACTGATGACCTTGTTTTTCTCTCTTCACTTTTTATCTTTATTTCTGCAGTAAAGGAATTTGTTTTGTTTTTTCCCCCCTGCTGTTATTGAGTAGCCTAGTTAATGATTAATAGCCCATTTACTAAAGAGAGGATCTTCTCAATCCTCTGCATTGACAGTTTCAGCTTGCTTAATACATTGTACTGGTATCCAAGAGCCAACAATTGCATACTGTCTAGATTTTCTTTACTGCTATTTTGACACTTTGCATTAATGAAGGAACTGCTAGATCAGGCCTCTAACTCAAACTTTTACCCTCTGTCCAATTTAAAAATGAGCAGCAGATAGCCCATGCCTCCAGGAGTTTCCTAAACCTTTATAGCTGCACTGCAGATTGGGAACAATGAATGGAACATTATGTCAGTAAAAATATTTGTATTGAATGGTGTCGTGTTTTTATTCTTATTTTCTATATTTCTATTGTGGATGGTAGATTCTGTTTAAACTGTTTTTTGTCAGTATTTTATTAGGCACAGACAGAGGGCGCTAGAGCTCTAAGAACAGACTAGATCGATGATACCTGCAAGCAGTAGCCTATGCCTATACATGCATCTCAGTCTTTGTTTATCTCTAAAAAAAAGGTGGTTATCTTTCAAACGAACTAAACTTAACCCTCATTGTTGTCCAATGACATAATAGGAGATGCTCTGTTTTGGTCTTTTTAATATTGTGCATTGAATTGAACAGGGCTGCGTTTCCCTAAAGCATTTTAAGTCTAGAAGTTAGTAAAGTTAGGGTGACCAGGACATGTCCTGTTTTCACGTCCTGCCCTGGCCGTCCTGGCTGTTTTATATATATATATATATATATATATATATATATATATATATATATATAAAGTTATGAAAATGTCCTGGTTTTCACAAAACTGCTAGGAAAGATCAGCTTTACAGAGATGGTCCTCACCGCAGAACACGAAATCCAGGGGGAGGAGTTGGAGTTGGTTCCAGATCTAGCTCCTCCCACCTTACATATGCCTAAACCTACCCATCTCTGCCCCCTGATCCCTAATCCCACCCCTTAATCTACCTATCTCCACCCCTTACATCTGATCCAACTCCCACTGTAATTAAAAATCGCTGCCTTAATTTTTTAAGTCAATTTCAACTTAAATTACATTGAAATGACGTACAAAATAAGTTGATTCTTGTGTAAACTTACAAACATTGAACAATTAGCTAAAGCAATGTAAAAACATGTTGTCATAACTTATCATATAATTATTTTTTTTTTTACAGAATGAGGTGCTACTGGCTTTACAGCAAAATATAGATGGGCAAACATAGAGGATGAGGAAGAAAAACAGGATAAAGAGGAAGAAAACTAAAGTTTAGAATAAATATATTTGGTTATTTTTTTAATTTGTAATTTGTTATTACAAATTTGTAATTTTGTCACATTTTTTTAATTTGTGAGAGCTATTTTTGTTCAATTTGGAGGTATTTTTTTAGTTATTTATTTTATTTATATATTTGTTTTTCTAATACAGAAGAGACATTATTTCTATCATTCTTTCCTTATTTTTGAATTTCTATCTATACAGAGGAGGCATAGCCTACTTTAAATGTACTGAAATTAATAAGGCTGTTTTGCTTGGCCGAGTGTCCTGGTTCTTGGTAATCAAAATATAGTCACCCTAAAGTCGCTTGTAAATGCTGAGAAATGCAGCCCAGGATAGAACTTCAGTAGCAACATAAAAATACATAAAAACATGTATGACAGGCGTAATTTTCTAGGGAGACAGTCCCCAGGGAGACAGACCTCCAGTATGTGAGACCTCTCTGCTGTGGTGGCTCAGCACCAAGGGGTTTAGGGGGGGCGATCCTGAGAGGTCATTGGCAGGATTATCTACTTTCTTTGCACATTAATCAACTAGAAGTGATAGTGGTGTTTCAAGCTCTCAAGCACTTCCTGCCAGACCTGAGAGGCAGAAAGAAATCGCTAGTTTATACCACTAACAAGACTCAAAATAGCCCCAAAATAACGCAGTAACATAATGAGGGTCCCTACATGCAAAACGAAGCTTTGAGAACTTTGTAAGTGTACAGACCGTTTAATAAGAAGATACTTTATAAAGACAGTTCACTTCGCGTATACAGACAGGAGCCATCTTAGGAAATAGTCTCGATAAGTCAAACCACGAATGTCGTGCTGAGTGATCTGAACTGTATGGAGTTCAACGAACTTCTGAACTGTATGAACGACGTTCGGGGATCGACTTATCGAGACTATTTCCTAAAATGGCTTTTGTCTGTATACACGAAGTGAACTGTCTTCATAAAGTATCTTCTTATTAAACGGTCTGTACACTTACAAAGTTCTCAATGCTTCGTTTTGCATGTAGGGACCCTCATTATGTTAGTGTGGGGCTATTTTGAGCCTTGTTAGTGGTATAAACTAGCGATTTCTTTTTACTTAGTCAATGCCCCCATTGCTAGCATTATACGCTAAACAGTTTTTAGAGATAAAACTCTTTACATTCGATTATCATGAAAACAAATCTCGGAGAACGGTTGACTATGTACCGATGTTTTATTAGACCAAATGTTCATTGTTCGCAGGAGTTCTCCTTTAACTTTGATTGACAGCTGATAACGGGCTGCGCCGAGTGGAATTTGACATCTTGGCCATGATCTGACAACACATCATACCACCTCTGTATCCTTTCTGAACATTTGTATTTTATATTTCCCAAGATTTTCCAGTATGGCGCCACCCATACGCCCCATAAACAGCCTCAGAACGGTTCTTCAGAAAGTCTATGGGTGACGACACAGACGCTTTGTCCATATTTTTTTACAGTCTATGGTCCTCACTGCATACATTTTTTTTTATTTTTTCTGACTTGGATCTTGGCTCCACTCCAAGGTCTAGGGTGCATGCTTCTTAGTGTGCACAGAGACTTCACACATAACAGGCCTGTTATTATGGTGTCGTGGGTATGGTGTTTCCACAGCATCTCAACGCAGCTCAAGTTCCCTTGAAAGGCAACGGCTCAGGCTACGTATGTAACCCTGGTTCCCCTGAGAGGGAACGAGACGCTGCGTTGCCCTGCCATACTCCCTTTCATACTCTTTCTAAAATGTGCTGTAGAATGTTTATATATTGTCATGTTTTTTAGAAATAAACAATGGACAAATGGAGCCTTTAAATGCCTCAAATGTGAAGTTTTGAGGCACAAGGCCGCGAGTCCACATGAAGTGTGCGATTTGGGATCCAGCCGATATGCGCCCTAGATGCACCCTTTTTCCGAGCCCACACTTTGGGCCCCCTGTCCCAAATGGCAACCTAAACACTTGTGGCCTTACGTCTACAGCTTCGTGACATAATGTCACGTTGACTGTCAGGAAGAAGTCTGCTGCGGAGCTCGCATCAGTGTGGCCTCAGCAAAAGTGTGCATCGAGGGTCCATATCAACCACAAAGGGGGTTCTCGCGACGCGAGCAACTTAAATGACAAACGGGACACTCTCTCATGGACTTAACGGACACACGCACACAGCAGTCATTGTAAGTCCACAAGACAAAAAGTGCATTATGAAGTGTGCCATTTGGGACAGACTTCTTCCCGACACTTAAAGTGGCATTACATCACGAAAGTGCGGATTCATAGGAAGACTGCGAGTGTTTAGGGCAGAGGTGGAAAGAGTAAAAAGTATATTCTACTCAAGTAAAAGTACTACTACTTCAATGAAATTTTACTTAAGTACAAGTAAAATTACCAGTCTAAAAATCTACACAGGTAAAACTAAAAATTAGCTCATTTAAAAAATTATCTACTAATACTACTCAGAAATGGATATGATTTCAAATTTAGAGAAGTAAAAATACCTCAAACAAAATGTACTTAAGTAAAAGTAAAAGTACAGATTTTAAAAACTACTTGTAAAAGTAGAAGTAGCCTACACAAAGGCCTACTTCGTTACTTTCCACCACGCCATTTGGGACAGGGCCATCCCATCCAGTCTTTGATAAAAATAAATAAATAATGTTATTATTATTATTATAAATAAGTAGTCTTTTTGCTTTAAATGTTGTTTTTTTTAATTAAACTTATTTTTTCATTTTCATGCATGCATCAAACAAGCGGGGGTCTATTCTTTCTTTTGATAGCCTATTGCATATTCAAATATTCATACAAAATAATAAAAAATGCTGGCGGTCAACGGGCTGTGGCAGTGGCTGGCATCTTTCTTTTTTTTTTTTTTTTTTTTCAAAAACGCTGGCGGGGAAAGAGTGAAGATCGCTCCATATTGACAAACCAAAATAAAGTAATAAGAAAGGTAAAACATTTACTACCTGAAATAGTAAAAATCCTTTTTTACAGGGTTGACACATAGGGTAGCTACACTCAAGTTCAAATATACTAAAAATATCTTTCTAATAAAATATTAGTAACATTACATAGCCTAGAAGAATGAATAAAACATTCCAGACTTGAAATAACCAATACGGAATGCATAATGCAAAAATGGCATAGTAAAAGTTCTATTAGCTTTTCGTTGTTCAGTCTTTGTTTGGTCACATCCGTACTTCATAATAATAACCAGACGAATAATTATATGCTTCGCAAAGATTTGCATGGTTGTTCTCATTTTATTATGAAACGTCAGCGGGTGCGAAGGGAACACAGCTCGTATGGCTCTGTCAGACGGGCAGTGAATGGTTAATGTTACTGTACAGATACATGACTGTGAGAGGTGTCTATAGGCTGCTCGTGTCCACTCGCTCCATTACTCGCTGCATGTTACTACTTTCCCCATTCCCACAGTAGGCACCAAAGAACAGCTCTGCACCTGCTCTGCAGACATCTCCTCCAGCATGGATGCGTTAAAATCCGCCGGGAGAGCAATAATCAAAAGTCCTGGAGTTCCGCGGCACACATGGGGAGCGTCCAAGCACGAAAGTGAGTAGCATGCGTGCCTTTATCTCTGTTTACATCTGAATACAACTGCATCCGTGCTGGGGTTCACGCGATGCTACGATAATACTGCCTCTGATACACATAAATCTACCTGAACATCTTTTATTTGTCTTTTTTTTTTTTTTTTTTTTTTTTTTGCAGTGCGATTTGCTTAACTATTCATATTGCGTTTATTTTTTCTCTGCATAGTGAGAGATATTCACCTTTATCTACAGGTTAATAATTGAAGAGTTCAGATGCTAAAGCCTCTAAGTGCCATTTGAAATTTTCTTCTAAAATTATCATTTTTATCAAGCTTGTATATTTAAGTTCAGTGATTTCACTTAGATGGCAATGAAGATTACCTATTAATTGTCATTTAAGTGAAATTACTGAACTTAAATATACAAGCTTGATAAAAATGGTCATTTTAGAAGAAAATTTCAAATGGCATTTAGAGGCTTTTGCATCTGAACTCTTCAATTGTAAATTTTAGGCTACTATTATTTTATTACAATATTCCGCATACTATCGGATCGTTGACCCTATAACATCCTGGTTAATGCAAGATATCTGTTTCTCACGTGTCCCATGTGTAGACTAGAAAAACCAATTAAATCGAAAAGATGTAACCAACACTGAGCTGTTCAAGGTTGACTGGCTTTATGAAATGTGTTGAAACTTGGTCAGGCTCAGAGAGACATCTGGCCAAAAAAAAAAAAAAAAACATATCACAGTTCTAACTTTCACACTTTGATTGACTGCAAGTCACACTTCACCCATTTATGTTTTAATGATTAAATCAGCTGGCTGGTCCTGTCAGGTTTTGTTCTGTCAGGAGAAAGAATTGAGTGGAAAAGGGGGCAATGGTTTTATGAGACAGGCCGTGTCACATCGGCGGTGACAGACAGGACCCTGAGGCTCAACGCTCTGTCTTTCTGACGTGTGAAATGTGAAGTTCATGAGGCACTCTGGGGAGAAAACATCTCTATTCCCACTTGAACTGTGTGCCAAGCATATATGCTGGAGAAAATCTACCCGTGTCTTGTTGCTGAGAGAATGTATATTTGCTAAAATACAAGAAAATTAGCATAATGAATTATTAAAGTCAACAACTATGTCTTGTGAATTTAGATGTGCCCTCCCCAGATTAAATTTTAATGATTTGATTTGGCTGTAATGGCTGTCTGTCTCTTTAGAAATGCATTGTGTTTGTGACTAGGATCAAGTAGACAGGTTTAATTTCTGTTTGATGACTAAAATTGCTTGTTGGTTTACTGGCATTATTTCTCACAAAGGTCTAGAGAAACATTTTTCAGTGTCCAAAGATGATTCAAAATGCCAGTTAGATTTTTAAAGGAATAGTAAAATGGAAAAGGGAAAATTTCTGTCATCATTTACTGACTCTCATGTCATTTCCCATCTGTTGAATATAAAGGATGATATTTTGAATAATGTCTCACTTGTTATTCAGCTACAGTGATGCATTTAAGGGTTAGTTCAGCCAAAAATGAAAATTCTGTCAGTAATAACTCACCCTCATGTTCCAACCCATAAAACACAAATTAAGATATCTGTGAGGAGTGAGAGCTGTCTCACTCCTTCATTGACTGCTCGGTAATCGCATCTGCCAGCCCAAAAGAAGTTAGTAAAGACATTGTTAAAAAAGTTCAAGGGACTAGAGTGAACCTCAAACCTCAAGTAAACCTCAAGTTTATCAAGCGACAAGAATACTTGCGAATACATGCTGTTCTTTAGAACTTTAATCAAATAATCCTGGAAAAAAAAATCATGGTTTCCAAAAAACTGTTTTAACACTGAAAATAATAATAATCAATGTTTGTTTGGCAGCAAATCATCATATTAGAATGATTTCTGAAGGGTCATTCAACACTGAAGACTGGGGTAATGATGCTGAAAATTCAGCTTTTTGTGCTTCTATACAAAACAACAGTAAAATTAATGAAATATTTCTGACTCAAAGGGGAGCTGATTCTGGTACAGCTCACAAACAAGTGAATAATGAACTGTTTTTGTGCTGGTATGATGAATATTCATGGGAGGGTATGATGTCTCTCAAGTGAGCATTTGACTTGATGAAGGTCAAAGTTTTCTCTGGCGCTCATTAAAAGCGAACTTTCATTTTTAATGTTGCCAAAAGAGAAAAGTTCAAGGCAAGCTAAAATATGCAGATCCTGTAGATCCTGTATTTTTTTTTTTCCTCACAGTGAGCGGATGTATTTAAAGTCAGGACATGCACACAGAGAAGTCACTATCAGTTCTCATTGTGCCATTAAATAACATTGACAGCTCCAAAGGTCACAATAAATGCTGTAAGTGTTAGACGCCCTTCCAGGTTTTTACAATGCAAGTTTTTGCAATTTTTATCGTAATAACCCCTGATTGGGAAATAACAGGTTTGATGAAAAGCAACTTCCTTGTCGATCTCATGTAGACATTAAGAAAATTATTTATAAATAAAAAAGCATTGGCAGTTGATTACTGTTTTATCAAAAATCAATACGTCAAACCCTCTGAGCTGAAAGTGTCAATCCATGTTTAAGTAAAGAAAACATGGCTTTGGATAAACCGATTACAGGAAGCATGTCAGCAAATCTATCAAGCTGTGAGTGTGACCAGAATGGGGAAGTGTATACTAACAACAGACAACTCTCTGTGTCATTTTCAATGATCAGAAGTGGATAAGGTACACACTGACACACTCTTGTGCGTTATCTCATACATGTATCCGTATGTGAAAATGAAAATCATATAGTGTGCGGAAAATGATTCTATACAACCCTGAATCAATGAACAAAATGTGGATGTGAGTTCATTTTAAAGGGTAACTAAACCCCTGGTCAGAGCCTGACTCCACCCACTGGCAATATTTGAAAAATGCTGAAAAAGTGGGCGGACCCCAGCGGAGATAGAGGGGACGAAATAGATGCTAAAACACTCATCCTGATCGTTTTCAATACTCGCAATTCCAACTCCTGACTCGCTACAGTGGTTTTGATGAAACAAGCTGTTTTTTTTACTGCCAAGGGCGTAGCTCGCGTGGTGAGCTGAAACCTGCGTAAGTCACGAAGTGCGGAACATCCAATAGAAAAATTCAACTGCAGTAGCCACCGTTCAACCTGAAGAGGGCAGCACTAAAACGTTTTTACACCATATATTGTAGAAATAAAACACTTTATAGACGAATCCGACGAGCGTTCTGTGTAGGCTGCCATCTTGTGGCGACGCCATTACTGAGCTGTTACACCAGCATAGATATGTGCACCGGTATGTAAACAAACCTCGGTGATAACGCAAAAGCACCCTCGATGACAGCTACAGCCAGGCAGAATGACTTGTTGGGTTGATGATGTTAGACAGTGGCCTCCAGTCACAGATGAAGGTACAAACGATCTTACAGATTAACGTTATTTATGAAAATAGCTTGGCAAGCTAGCTAGGCTAACGTTTGCTAACAAGGAAACTATAAAAAGATCTGTCCATTTGGCAACAATAAATAAATAAATGAATGAAATCAAATAAACAAATTTATGTTTTTCATTTGTGTCCATTATTTATCTCATTTTCACATTGCAACAGGCAAGGGTAAGGTAACGTTACAGCTAGAAAGTATACATAATATCGACCAATTAGTGTTTTTAAACCATGGAAAGAGGTCAATATAACAGCAGGAAAACAATTATGTCACATAACGTTACATTTAGCTCAGGAAAGCCATTTAATGACCATAGCATGTTAATTGAATAGAAAAAATAGCAAGAGAGGAGATTTTGCTGATCACTATATCACATATTTATTATATATTTTTTACTTATGTCATTAAATAATTGTTATTATACGCGAATGTCCACGTCTTGTACTCGCCCAGGAAATCTGTAAACCGTACGGCACCAGACAGGGGCAGTCGACCCGGGGTATTCACAGTGTTTTCTCTTCAAAATTGAAATTTTACTGCCACCATTGAAACAATTTATAACGGAAACTGTTTACCCACTCGACATTATACAAGGAATAACGTTGTAACGTTAGTGACAGTCGTAAATCGCGGGCTGTTTATTCTAGTGGACGCAAGTTGCAACTAAAACAATAGAAGGCAATGGCGCAACGCTACCCAGCAACAGCTCAGTAATGGCGCCCCGCTTACTTCCGGTAGTTTCGCCGGATTCGTCTATACACAAATGTTAAAGTTACTCGAATCAATGACTGGTATTAAATAAAGATCCATTCTTACAGATCATTAACTAAAAAAGTTGGTTTAGTGTTTAGTTACTCGTTAAGGATGTTTCCTGTGAGAAAGTAGAATTCGTATTCTTTATCGTATATACTCTTCTCATTTGGTTTATTTTTATTTATGGTTCTTGTATTAAGTTCTGTTGCTAGAAAGTTACGGATTCTTATGTTGTTTTTTTAACATTCTTTTATTATTCATTTGTGTTATTAATTATTTTATGTATTAAATACTTCTAGAGTTTATAGAGTTTATTGGTGAAATAAGCTCTGGTAAACACAATTTGACAAAACTTGAATGAATTTTCTTTTTTACAATGTAAACTACACACACATACACCCCAAACATTTTTATCAGTCTTATCATTGTAGAATAAAATATCTAAGGATCGTCAACTTGTTTACCACATACCTTATTTCACTAACAAATTGAAAAAATATATTTTTTTTAAGCATTTTTGTTCTTAGTGACTGAATTTGAGTGGAACACTTCTCACTGTCGAGACTCAGAAATATCCTTTGCACTGCTTCAATAAGGTACTTCCACTGTTTGGGGTAATCAATACATAGAGATTAGAGTGTAAAACAATCCAAAAATCACTCCAGTGGTAGATGTGAAACATTTAGTAGAACTTCTTCCTCCACCACTGAATCTAGGCCTCCAGCGTCAATGACTGTCTCAAGGAGACCAATTTGCATCCCTCTGGTCTGCCTCTCCATATCATTGCCTCTCTGGTTTGAACCACAAAGCTATA